AATCCACCCATAACACAGCACAAGATGCCTCCAGGATTTGAAGGGTAGGGATTCCTGACCTTGACACAATATAAAACACTGTAAAACAAAAAATTGAAACATATTTGAATAAATAAAAGTAAACTTTAATAAACTGAGACAAGAAGTCTTCAAAAATCAGGCCTCAGAATTAAGCCTATAATCGGGCTCCCTGCTCGGTGGGAAGCCTGCTTCTCCCTCTTCCCCTCCCCCTGCTTGTGTTCCCTCTCTCGCTGTGTCTCTCTGTCAAATAAATAAAATCTTTAAAAAAAAATTAAGCCTATATTTTGTTTGTTTGTTTGTTTGTTTTAAGATTATTGAGTATGAGTGTTTCTCCTTAATTATATAGTTAATTGCCCTTGACTATTCCTAGTAATTTTTACTTTATTTTGTTTTATTTTATTTTAGTGCACTTCCAGAGAAGAACGAAACTTTGTGGCTGGGATTAAAACAAATTTGTATAGTCTATGGCTGTTTTAAAATGTTAATTTATTATCAACATAATCTTTTAATTTGGAGACTGACCACATTATTTTAATACATGGGAGCATATTCACAAGTCAATCAGAACTTACAAATATCATTATTTTCTTTTTCATGAAAAAGCCACACAATAAGAATAAACAAACTGACAATAATATGTTTTTTAGGCAAATTCCAGGATAAGCTAGAGAATCATAGCCTGATGTTTGACCCGCCGGTCTTCTATCCCTTCCACAGCTTCAATACTATAAGCGATCATCAATGTTTATCATGACAAGCCAAACAGTGCAAGATGGTCAGTGCTTCGAAATTACCACTATATTAGGCATCATTTTGGTTTAGCTATATTTAATTGTTTTCTAATGGTTATTAACCAGATTCCAGATAAATGTTTGTTTGATGTACAAAAGTATAGAGAACTACTTTATAATTCTAATGAAGTAAAATACTACTTATGACCTACTGGCCAACTATCAGAATGCATGTCATCATTATGTTTCAGGGGCCCAATTCACTCATGAATATTCACAGGAAGTATGTTCCAGTGAATTTCAACTTCTCAGATACCTGCTCCTATGCTCCAGAGTCTAAACCGGTCTCTACTTTAATTCCAAGCTTCCTTTTCTTAAGATAGTATGATGTCTTCTAGCTTCATGTTACATTATCCTCACACTCTATTGTTGCAATCAGGTGGACAATTTGAAGGTATCTGCTGAGTCCTAAGCAGGACACTGTCATTCAGGAAGGAAACACAGTATATAATGCGTGGAAGACTACTGCATCTTAGCGATTTGGTGTAACAGTTCAGTTGTTTTTAATTTTATGGAATTTATTCTTGTTTTCAGAAATTATGTTAGACAATCTGAAAGAAATGAGATAAAATTATATGAATCTTTTCCAAGGTATAGCCTGCTCAACAAATGTAATAAATCATCTGACCCTGTTCTATCCTTTTTAGAAAAACCACAGACCACATTGAAAGTCATTTTGACATTCTAGTATTTCAATTATTTTTTAGGTATGTTAGAAGGCAGGTACACTGTAAATATTTTTATTTTACCTTAGTCTTCCTGAAGATTCCATGTCTCCTATAAAAGCTTTGGAAATGGTCCAATTCTTTGCAATAACCTGAAACTGACCTGCACCACACTGCCGTATAAAGAGACACTATTTTATTTATAGTCACCATCTCACACACATTTACTATTGCTAGTCCCCTGAGGAGCACAGAAAACTGTCCTACAAATTTCACACAGGAGAAAGTATACAACTCAACAAATATCAACTAGCATTAACTCTAGATCACCTGCTATTACAACTATAATAACATAAGACTTAGTCTTTTTTGTTATACAAATTAGTTATTTCAGAGGTCTTTACAAAATTTTTTCAAAATTCGATTAAAAAAATCTTGCTTTCCCTTTTGGGAAGTTGGAAATAAGCTGTTTTGAAAGAAAGGGAACATTTTCTTCTACCTCATTTCTGGAATTTCCCTGTGTAATCCTGGACGTTCCCACCTATTGTCTCTTTAAAACAATGCTATTTTACTTTCTTAAAACAATGCTGCTTAAAAAAAAAAAAAAAAAGATTGTTAAAAGCCAGGCAATTCACTGAACAACTCAAGGAAGGTGGTCAGAATTGTGATCAGATGTGCAGTCTTCTCAAGAGACCCAGGTTGTTTGGTCTGGCAGGATGAGAGCAGGATCCAACTCACAGAACGGGAGAGGCGTGGGGACCGAGAGAATTTGGCATGTGGCAGATCCACCTAACAGAACGGTAGTATGGGAAACATTGAGGGAAGGTGGCACAGACTTTGTTAAAATTCAAGTCAGATAAGAATTGAGGCTGCAGAGTGTAGAAAGGAAAGGGATTCAGACCCAGGGTCGGAAAGGGGCTGGTGACATCCTGATACTAGAGGAAGAAACTGCCAGAAACCATCCTACAGGCTTCAGAGCAGTTCTTACGCACATATCCCAATGATAGAAGTTTACAGAATATGTCAGGAGGAGAGAGCTGCTTATCCACTAGTCCTTGTTACTGATATATGCAGATCTGAGATGGGGGAGGGAGTAAGAAGGAGAGAATGATTTTTTTTTAAGAATATAGGAGGAATTTTAGACAAGCTCTAAATAACTTGTATGCCTTCTGATCTTGACATAGTATAACTTCTTGATTATACCTGTTTGTTTCCAACCGTAGAAGTAGAATTCATAATTTTTAGCCTGTAGGTCCAGATAATTTTTACAGGACATAGCTTCTCATTTTTAACTTCACATACATGAAATTTTAATGTTTAGGATTTTTGTGTAGTTTTAACAAAAATAATTTTATATGCCTATTAATAAATCATCTCCCATTGTAGATTTCCAAGGAGATAGATTTTCATTACTAGTAACCTATCCTTTATATGAAAGAATAAGACAGACAACTAAAACAGTTTCTTTAGTAAATCTGGAGTAATCAGCTTCCCATATAGATGAGAACTATAAGTGACTTTCATCTTAATTAGGCTTATAAATCAGTGTGAATATTAGTTAACTTATAAAAATAAGTGAAAAAAGGTCTGATATACATGCATGTCTCTCTGAACGCAATCTGCCTCTCTAATGATATCTTTGACAGACCCTGAGATATATTTAAATATAAAATTTCCACAGCACCCATTTCACTGTAGCTCAATAAACAAAATGCCAATCTAACTGACATATGGATTAGGTTCCTTCTTGAATAGTTTTTTTTTTTCAATTTTGATATACGCAATAATTTCTTTGCATGACCTTACAATGTACATCTCAGATGGGAAAAAAAATAAAAAACTTCTTAAAGAGAAATTGTGGTCAAAAGATGGCATTTCATGGTCCTTTAAACTTTGGCACCTGATAAAATTAGAGTGAGATCTTTGCAAGTAACCAAAATAAGGGATAGACCTCCATTCCCCCTCAATAGCTAACTCTGTAAGTTTCTTAGCTTTATGATTCCTTAGGTAGTAATTTGTCTTTTTATTTACCTAAAAGAAATCAGAGTAGTTCTCAACTTAGAATTACAGGGAACAGGTAACTAACGAGTAAAAACTTGTTAAAAATATTCACTTACATTCTAAGATTCCAACAGTCTGAGAAGCCTCTCTAGAAAACCATAAGATCAATAAGCTTTCTCAGTAACTGTAAAAGTCTTTTACAATTGTTCCAGAGATGTTTCAACTAACCAGATGCATCAAAAGTCACCATTCACAGAACTAAAAATACACCAATGTTATAACAACCAGCTCCTCATGATTCATAGTTCTGGTAACATTTTCAAGTTCCATGAAATATATTTAGCTTTGAACTTAATTGAAACTACCTTACCCAAGACCCTTTCATAATTTTTTATGTCTTTCAGTCTGAGAAAATATATTTTTTTAAAGATTTTATTTATTTATTTGACAGAGAGAGACACAGTGAGAGGGGGAACACAAGCAGGGGGAGTGGGAGAGGGAGAAGCAGGCTTCCCACAGAGCAGGGAGCAAGAGGCGGGGCTCGATCCCAGGACCCTGGGATCATGACGTGAGCCGAAGGCAGATGCTTAACGACTAAGCCACCCAGACACCCCTGAGAAAATAATTTTGATTGAGGAAGTGGAATAGTTCTTCTCTGCCTTTTTCTGTTATAATGTAGATGAAATAAGAATATAATTTCTCTTCCATTAAAAAGCAATAGAACTCCAAAAGTCTACCAACCGACATGTCTGAACATTTTCCACTTCCTTACAAAAGATGAAAAATCACATCAGACAGGAAACACATCCTTTAGATTAGTGACAGGTGTAGAACGAGCATACCAGTCAGCCTTTATTTTCAGTGTCAGTAGGCATGCTCAGCGGCAGAGGGTACAACTCTTCCTTTTCATTGAAGTGACACACATCATATTATTCCTTCATCTACACACCACCAAGCAGAAAAGTTCCCAAGCGACAAAACTACTTGATCTTGGTTGAATGCCAGGCTATTGTTTAAAAATAAAACCTCGGTACTAAGGAGACAGACGATGATGATGATGATGATGATGATGACGATGATGGTGATGGTGATGGTGATTTTGTTGGTGATGATGATAATGAACTTTAAGAATTTCATTGGGGGAGGGAGGAAAAGTTGTCTCCATTCTCATCCTCATTTCTCCACAGAACAGTAAACTTACTCAAGACATGAAAAATTTAGCAGCTTTATTTAGAAGTTGAATGATTTAGATCGCAGCACAATAATAGGGTTCAGGAAGCATTTAGAGCTGCAGTAGAAACTAGGTGCTCACGAAGTAAGAGTTTCAAAGGTAGAAATAAAAGCCTTTCTACCACCCCTGAGGATGCCCACCAGAACCTCATTTTGTAGTTCCAGTTTCTCTTTTCCCCCAGCCAAATAAACAAACATATCAAAGCTTTAAAACCTTGACACTACTCAGGGTAAATTCTGGAAAATGGGAGAGTAAAAGAATCCCTAGGACAAGTTTGAATTTAGGATTTACCTGCTCTGATCCCAGTTGGCTGCAAAAAGGACTAGAATCTTCCTGCCATAGTGGTCCAGATTGGCCAGGCCCCCAGGGAAGCCATCCTTCAGTGCCTGCTTGATGCCAGGGTCAGTGGCCTTGAAGCTTTTGAACATGTCCAGGTTCTGCTGCCGGTACTCAAAGTACTGGGCCAGGAGGCGGAAGGCCTCAAAGTGATGAAACTTCCTGGCCCGCAAGAAGCGTAAGATGAAGGCATCATCTGTGCGCAGAAAGCCAATGTCCGGCCTGGTGATGACCATGTCCCTCACCTCCTGGATGTCCTGGTGCAGTGTGTCTGGGTTCTCGTTGAGCTCCAAGCGAGCTTTCTCCAGGGTCTCAGGAGAGAGACCAGCTTGTAAATGAGTCATTGTTCTGCTTATTCCTGAACCTTCCCTTCCTCTTGCTGACTGTCCCACAACAAACCTGGCCTTTGCCACCACCACGCTCTGGCCTCTGGACCTCACTGCAGCCTGCTTCCTCTTCTGTACAGGAAATTATTTGTCTTGGTGTCCAGACTAAGTACCCTGTTGCTCCTGCTTTCCCGCAGCTTTTTTCTGGGGGGTATAAACTTCTTTTCCCACCCCTTAAAAACAACGCGTCACTTTGGTTCCTTCTTCCCTTTCTTTTAAAGCGATGTGGACCTCTGGCGGGCCCAACACTCCTTGTCCTTCCTCAGTCCTAACAAAACACCCCTAAACCCACCCAGCGCGCTTGGCACTGATCTTGGTACTGTCCTCTTCTCTTCCAAGATGTAACAAAAACAACCCCCACGCACATCTCAGCCCCAGCTCTGTGATGCTTCTGCGGTCTCTACTGAAGGATGCGCCTGCCAGGGATAACGATGGGAATTCTGATTAATAATAAGGTGGCTCTTCAGCGCTGAGCTCCAGGGCGGGGAGAGAGCGTCTTTGCCAGAAAGAAAAAGAGAGAAAGGGAAAGAGGGGGGAAAGGAGCTTATTTTTCCTTCTGCTTATTCAAAGATGCTATTTTTAAAAGACATTTGTAGGATTTTGTTTAAAACGATTATGATCCAATTCGGTGGAGACTCTGCAGATAGCGCACCTTCCCTCCTCCCCTCCTAGATAGACCGTGATCTCAGAAGGCACCAGAAGGGTTTCTGGTGGCTTTGGCACCAGCGTGGGCTTCCCCCCCCCCTCCAGCCCCACCCGCAACTTCTGCCTTCCTCTAGCCCTTTATTTCAACGGAATTATCGGGGGGAGGGGGTGCACAGGAAGGAGGGGGATCTCTCTCACAATATACGTTTCAAATGCGAGGTTGGGGGCGGACGGGGGAGGGGGAGAAGGTAGAGAAGAGGAGTGGAGAATAAAATTAAAATGTCTCTACCTTTTCTACAAAACCCCAAAGCAAGAGAGAAGAGCAGTGGGCTCCTACCAGCAAACCCGGAGGCGGGGACGCTAAGCAATGCGGCACTCCCTGGCATCCATCAGCCCCGGCTTCGGCGGCGGCGGCGACAGCAGCATCAACTCCTCTCCGTGGGATGGCACGAGCAGAGAAGAGGGGCGGCAGCTGGGACCCGGGCCGAAGACGCACTGGGGAGCAGCCGTGACCACATCGTCCGCCAGCAGCCCGTTGCCTCTCCCAGCAGGAGGGTGGGGGTGCGGAGCTAGGGCCACCGGCGTCCCAGGTCCTCGCCTGGCCCTGCCATCCGCGTCCCCGGGAGAGGAGAAGGGAGGGAGCAGGGTTCCAATGCCTGGATGGAGAAGGCCACGCGGGCGGCCGCCGCCTTTGTGCGCCCCAGCGGCCGGGCGCTGGGCGCGGCGGGGCGGCTGCTGCGGGGCGCGGGCCTCTCCCGGTGCGCGCCGGGCGGCGGGAGTCAGGCGCGCCCCTCCGGGCTGAGGCTGCTGCGGCGGCTCCGGCTGCCGCGGCTAAAAGAGGACTCGGCTCAGCCCAACTCCTCTCTAATTATCCCAGCACAGATCTAGCGGCGACGTAAGCGCTCACTCAGCTCGCGCACGCACCCCGCTCCTCTCGCCCTGACTCGGCTGGGTAGGACGGCAATTTCCGCGGCATTCAAATATCCTGAGCCCCAAGTTTAGCCTTCTTGTCCGCACTCCGGGGCAGGCTACTCGAGCGGGCATCACCTGGCCAGGCGGGGCTGCGACGCCTTGCAGTCTCCCCACGCCCCTCTCTCACCCTTTGTGTGCAAGACCCCAGAGCGGCCGGCGGGTAGCCTTTGTGGATGGTAATTCACGTGAACACACATTTTCTAGGTCCCATAGGAGATCGTTTTGATGTGGAAAGCGTACGGAAATATTTTGTACTTGCTGCATTTGTAGTTGACAGAAATGTTCAATTTAGAAAAGAAGACCAGAGTGGTTTCAAAGAATTGTGTTGATGACTAAACCTCCGGAGGAACTTATATGAATGGTATTTCAGCCATAAAGTCTGGCTGCTGAATTACTATTGAAGGGAATGGAAATGAGCACTGGGGCCAAAAACACAAACAGTCCCAGAGGAAGGAAAGACACCCTTCGACTCATTTCTCTTCTCATAATAAAGCAACTATTTCTGGAGACACATGCAATCATTCCCTTTAGTTTTATACATCTGTATGCTAGAATCATCACAAATGAACAGGAGTCTTTGAGCTTAACATGACTGTTTAAGGGTTTGAAGAAAAGGAATGTTTTCTCTTTTCAAAGCACAGCATGTATTACTGAGCCTGTCACCAAGAGCAACTTTGGCTTACAAACTAGAATGGGGTCTTAAATTCAAGTAAACACAATGCAACAAATATTTCCTGAGCTCCACTGTGTGGGGGGCATCGTCTTGGGTTCTATGGATGGAATAGGCGGTCTTGAAATAAGAAAATCTTGTCATCCTTGATGACCATTGGAACACTCAGATTATAGGCACACACTTTTTGTTGTTCTTTAGCAATGGTGTTCACAAAAAGAGAAAAAAAGAAGAGGGATGGCAGACCTCTAGCATTTTATTAGTTAAATTAATGCAAAGTTTAGTAAGAACCAGAATAAGAGAATACGTTACACACATACACACACACAGGGTCATTATTCCCACGGAATTTACACTTTAAGGAAGGCAGAAAATTATACACACACACACACACACACACACATAAGGTCCTTCTAGGACTTCATATAATTACGACTCTTCAAAAGCATTTTGAATGTAATATGAACTATTAAAATAATTTGGTTCACAGTTCAAAAATTTTTGAAAAATTTATTTTTGGCCAATATTCTAGAATGTGAAGAAAATTTGTGTCGTGTGAACTGTACGAAAAGCTTTTATAAAGAGGTTTCACCAATATCGAGAATTCTCCATTGATCTCTTGTGTTTCTGAATGTCTTAGGAGCAAGGCAAGAACTGCCTTTTTCCCAGACTCTCTGTTCAAGGCTGTGTGTGCAGTGTCTACGGTGCATAGCCTGGAAGGAGCATTTGAAGCTAGAGATGGTACCTCCATCTGAATGAAAGGTTTGCTTTGAGCTTTGGGAAGGTAGAAGTAGTATCTCCCTTCTGAGCAAAGGGCAGGCAGGTATATTTTGGTTCCCTGATCTCAAAGCTACTGTCCTGTGATGCCACCCACTAGGTGTACCAATGACATCTGACCCTCTTCTCTTAGGCTTGTGGGGATCAGGGCTCAGGAAACAAGCATAAAATATGTTGGTGCTTAGACTGCTTCTGTGCCTAGGTGATAAAGTTGTTTCTCTCTAACCCAAGGGTTTTGCAACTGCCACGGCAGACATGAAATGCTGGCTAGGTGAGCTGTTGGCTTGCAAGTAGGGTTACATCTTAGAACCTACAGGTGCTTAAAATTCAATTACTTAATTTTGTTCTCTGAAATGGAAACAGTAGACCATAATTTTAGAAAGGAGTTAAAAGATAAAATTTGTGGGTCCTAGGTATGGTGTGACCTGTATTTAGTGATGGTGTTTTTAGTATTTATCAATGACAGATTTGCTTCAAATAAGGTTCATTTTAATCTATCAATATATGATGTAAATCACCTCTGTCATGCAGTAGGTTTGTTGGAGTAGGTCAGATGTGTGTATATATATATAGGAATTTTTTCATTATATTAACAAACTATTAAGTCCTTACTCCAATAATTTTACCACTATTCGCTTTCTACTTTAACATTTGAAATCAGTTCTGAAACCAAAATAAATATACAGAGTATTCTAAGAATTAAACAAGGTGTTTATCCAGATGACTTCAAAGCATTTGATTCCTATTCAATATTAATTTACTTTATCCAATTAATGCAAAATAATGTGGGAACTAAGTAGGAGAATACATTAACTAAAAAAAGGATTCATTAAAGTATTATTGGAAAAATAATTAAATTAAGGGCTTCTGGTGTTTTCAAGGAACCTGAAAGCAGTTTGGTTTACTGCCATATTTAAAGTGGACAGAATAATTTACATTTCAAAACATTTTATCCCATCTATTGTTAAATAAAATATACATACAGAAAGGGGCACAAAACAAGATGTACAGCTCTATGACATATTACGAAGCAATCACTTGTATAAATACCCACCTAGGTTAAGGAATAGAACACTGTTAGTACCCACAAAGCCCCTCCTTCCTCCCCTCCTAACTACTTGCCTCGCCTCCCAACAAAGGAAGCCACACCATCTTCATTTTGAAAATAATCACTTCCTTGATTTTCTTTAAAATTTTCCAACCAAATGACTATGCACTATAATTTAGTTTTTCCTGTTTTTTTTTTTTAACTTAATTGAATGTAATCATTCATTGTAATTTTGTGACTGGCTGCTTTCATTCAATATTATGTTTGTGAAATAGGAGTCTTTTTCCCCAAGCTGCATGTAGTTAGTTCATCCATATTCAGTGATGATGCATGGGATCCCATTTTATAAACAATATACTTATCTGTTCTACTTCTGGTGGAGATTTGAGTTGTTTTTCTATTTAGGGCTGTTATGAGTCATGATGTATAAACATTCTGATCTACATCTCTTGGTGCACATGGACATAATGTTGGAATGAAAGTGTTGGGTCATATGGGATGAGCATCTTCAAATTTACTAAATGAAGCCAAACTATTTTCCAAATGGTCATGCTATTTCACCCTCCCTGCAGAAGTATGTAAGAGTTCTCATGTATCTCACTTTTATTCATCATTTTAACTTTATCCCTTCTGATTTTGAACAGGTGTATCGCATGCTGGTTTGGGTGTAATTTCTACAATTGCTAATGAGGTTGAGCAAGTTTTCATATTTTTTGGCCATTTGCATAAACTTTTTGTGAAGTGACATTGCTCTCTTAATAGTGTCTTTTGGTTAGCATAATTTTAAGTTTTAATATAGTTCAATTTTTCTTCAATGAATAGTGTTTTCTGTTTAAGAGTGTCTCAAGGTCACTCAGATATTCTCTGATATTACCTTCTAGAAGTTTTATTGTTTTTGCCTTTCATTTAAATCTACAATCCACCTGAGACTGAGTTTAGTGCATGGCATGAGAAAGGGATGGAGTATTTTTTATATGAATATAATGAATATAATATGACTCAGCACCATTTTTTGAGACTGTTTATTGACAAGATGATCTTTTTCCTATTGAACAGAAGAGCTACCATTGTCACAAAATAATTGTTCATATAAGTATAGATTTAATTCAATATAAATTTTAAGTCCCACAAGACATCATTGTTCTATAAACCAGTGTTCTCAGTGGTTCTCAAAGTGAGCTTCAGATCAGCAGTATTAACATCACCTGGGAACTTGTTAGGAATATAAATCCCTACCTCTGACATCCTGAATCAAAATCCCGGTATGGGATCTCATGGTGTTGTTGCCAGCCTTTCACATGACTCTAATTTACATTAATGTTTGAGAAACACTGTCCTAGATTTACATACATATTTATCCTTTTCATTGTTCTTTATTCCTTCTTGTATCTCTGAGTTTCCATAAAGAATTGTTTTTCTTTTACCTGAAGCATACCCTTTAATATATCCCTTAGCACAGATCCTGAGGGCTTAAAAATTACTTGTTTTCTTTGCCTGAAAGCCAGTTCTCTTGCTTTACCTGTTGAAGAATATTTTGGCAAGGTATGAGAGTCTGGATTTGCAGCTATGTTCTTTCAGCACTTTAAATATTGTAATCCAATTTTTTTTTTAGCTTGTGTTATTTCTGTTGTGAAGTTAGCTCTCAACTCTTTTCATTATTCTTTTGAAAGTAATCTCTATTTTTCTCTAGCAGATCTTATTTTTTTCTTCCTGTCTTTCATTTTTAGCAGTTTCTTTTTATCACTTTGCTCTTTTACCACTGTTTAATCCTTGGATTACTTTATACATTTAAAAAATCCTTCTTGAGATTTAAAGGACTTCCTGATGTTATCTTGATGGATCTCATGTGTTTTTGGATTGATCTAAGTCAGAGTATCTTCATATGTTGCTTCTGTTCCATTTTCTGTCTCCTCTGTTTTTGGAATTCCAATTATACAGGTATTATATCTCCTCACTGTTTCCTCTGTGTCTTCTTATGTATCTTCTGCATTTTCCATCAATTTTCTCATCTTTCCTTTTGGATATTTTCTGTCTAAACTGCTTTCAATTTATTAAATCACTCTTCAACTCTTGTTAGTCTGCTGTTTTATCTCTTGACTGTCTCTCATTCAGTTCTTAATTTAATATTTTCTAGTTCTAGGATTACTGTTTAATATACAGATACACACATGTATGTCAATTATGTTGGAATTAGCAATCTCCATTTTTATCTCTATAGACATAATAGACAGTGATTTTAAATTCTTTGATAACTCCAATGTCTGGGTTACTGGTGGATCTGCTCCATTATTAATTATTGTTTCCATTGTTTCTGCTGGTTTTCATTTTTTATTGTATTATCTCCTTGAGTTTTTGCCTATTATAAAAAATTACATCCTGGTCATTGACCTAACAAAAGTACTTATAGCAATAAATTAAGATCTAGAATGATGTTATCTTAGTCCAGAGAGTTTTTACTGTGGCTTTTATCAGTGGCCTTATGTCCATACATATGAACAATTGGGCACTAGAACTACATCAGTTTAATCCTATTTCAGGGAATGAAATTATCTGCAACCGAGCTGCAGTCTCTATAAGGGCAAGTGCATTTCTAGTTTACTTCCCTGTGGTGGACCCTGGAATCTAACACACATCCCCTA